GCCACACAACCTTCAGCGGCCATCTGCTGTTTACTGTGTGAGAGAAACAGTTTCTGCAGCATTCTGTCGTCTTTAATCGTTCGAAAATGAGCAGATGCTGAAATGTATCTTAATCCTGAATATGCGTGTGATCACACCGTTTTTAATCTAAATCTGTATCAAATGAAATACAAAATGTTGATGATTTATTACCTCTAATTGTTCAAAGTGATTATTGTTGTGATTTTGTTTATCCTCAGTATAAATCAAATAAATTAAACAAATCTATTGAAGAGATTTTTTTATTTGGTCAAATATGGGTGCAAAAGTAGAACATCTAAGGTACCGCCAATGGGATCAGGTCCTGTGTGGAACAGTTGGCCTCCCTTTGAGGGTATCCTCCCTTTTAAGGTACCATCCCATTGAGGATATTCTCCCTTTTAGGGTAACATCCTATGAGGGTAGCCCCCCTTTTAGTAAAGCCCCCCTTTTAGTGTAGCCTCCTTTTGACTTTTGCCTCCGTTATAGGGTAGCCTCCCTTTGATGGTAGCCCTCGTTTTAAGGTACCCTCCCTTTGAGGGTAGTTTCCCTTTTAGTGTAGCCTCCCTTTGAAGCTATCCTCCCTTTGAGTTTAGCCTCCCTTTGAGGGTACCCTCCCTTTGTAGGTAGCTTAGTTTGAGATTAGCCCCACTTTGTGGGTAGCCTCCCATTTAGGGTTGCGTCCCTTTGAGGGGTAGCCTCCCTTTTAAGGTACCCATGTGTCACCATTTTCTCTGGAGCTCATAGTTTTTTACTGTTCATTCACTGCAATATTGCCACCCCCTGGACACTCTTTGTCAAAGCAATGTTGCTCAGTTTGGGACCCAAAAGCATGCCACTCTTCTGCTTTTTCCCCTCCTCTTCTTTATCTTATTCGCACAAACACAAGTCTCTGATTCACAGCACAATGGGGCCTGGCATTGACATGTATTGTCATTTATTCATTCTTGTAAAAAGTGCCCTCAGATTGAGCCCAGTAGAGGTTGTTTGTGAGAAAACACATGGCTTTTTTCCTCCCGGGTCTGAAATTCCTTTTTTTGTACTTCGCCTTTAACCTCCCTTTGAGGGTAGCCAAGCTTGGAGGGTAGTCTCCATTTTAGGGTCACCTCCCTTTAAGGGT